GATCGGAAGAGAGCTTTTGGACTAAGGCGATACCATTCGTGTTAGTGGAAAAGAAATTTTTGAGCTGCACAACAATATTAGGGATGATGGTGGAGACAGCCAAGAATAAGAGGTCTTGGTTATCAGGAATACGAGACAAGGCGTCAGCAACTCAATTTTGCTTCCCAGGTTTGTACAAGATTTTATAAGAAAACCCTTGTAATTTTGTTGCCCATTTCTATTGTTCTGGTGTCTGAAAAACTTGTGAGAACATGTGTCGTAGGCTTTGTTGATCTGTAAAAATGCATAAATGATGTAGCAAGAGCATTAGTAATACCAAAGGGAATTACCAAAAACTCATAGTGACCGTCATTAGTGCGAAAAACAGTCTTGTGGGTGTCGCTGGGGTTCATCATAATTTGATGATACCCTGAACGCAAATCGATCTTAGAGAAAATAGTAGCATGGCCCAACTAGTCTAGTAGTTCATCAATGGTGGGGATAGGGAAATGGTCTTTAATGATAATAGCATTGAGAGCCCTATAATCAACATAAAAATACCATGTATTATCTTTTTTGCAAACCAATAAAACTAGGGATGAAAAAGGGTTCTGGCTAGGTATAATTAGGTTATCTTGTAATAATTCAGAAATAATGGAGGAGATGGTGTCTTTTTAGGCATGAGGGTAACGATATGGTTTAACTCACTTCAATAAGACATGACTACTAACTTTCATACTACCATGGAGATTAAGGGGTCTTAAACTTGAATTCATTATCTCTCATTGTCAAATATTCGTCTAAGACTCTAAACTGGTCACCTAGTTGAAATCATCTACTCTGATGCCATTATTGAACACCTAATGTTCATACACACATATCTCCATATTGAAATGATATTATTTATATTGAACGTAAACCCTTATGATTTTACTTTTGATTATCTCTAAAAAAAAATTTCACATCAATAAAAATTGTATTTTATAATTTTTGGAAATTATGTATTTTATAATTTTTTTTTTCAATGATACGAAACTTTATTTATACTCCTACAATTTGGTGAAATTTTTAAACATACCGATGACATACACAAATAAGATACCGATGACATACACAAATAAGCCACGTGTCACAATACCCATTTGTCATAACCACAAATGCATGGAAAACCTCTCATAAAATATGACATAGAAGGAATTACCCAATATTATAATAATTAAGTAACTTATTGTTAACAATTCTCCGAAGAGAATATAATGATTATAGTCCATATTCCAGTATGGAAAAGGCAAGATTCGTGAATGATGAGCCGACCCGACCCATAATGGGTTGAATTTAAGCCCCCTCGTGGTGGCATTTGTTTGAGCATAGAGAGAGAGGCATTGATCGATTCATAAAGTGAGAAACCAAAATGCCTGTGCGTATCCCACTACCATCACCTCCACATAATGACAAACCAAAGGACATTCCGGTGGATTTACTGAAATTGCAGAAAATAATATTGCAAAAACTGAGAGAAGCCGATTCTAACAAGGACGGTCGTTACACCAGGGATGAACTCCGCACTGCTCTCAAGAACTTGGGTGCCATCCTCCCTGGTTGGAGAGCCAACCGCGCTCTCGTAAATGCTGATTCCGACAACGACGGCCAAATTGGTGGTCAGGAAGTCGACTCTCTTGTTGACTATCTCATCTCTTGTGGCTATGGAAAATAAAACATCGCATGCATGCACATGTGCGTGTTTAATAATATATAACTATATATAATATATATAGTTTGTGTTTATGCAGACCCCCTCTAGCTAAGGTTGAAGAACGTAAGGGGTGGATTATGATGTCTTTCTTTTTCTTTTTTAACAATGGTTCTAGTTTAAAGTATTTTAGTTGTGGCTCCAATCTTATCATGGGATCAACCTTAATTGTGTTTTAATGTTTTTGTTTCACGCACCCTTCTATGTGGTGCTTCCAATGAAATAAGAGCTACTATATAATTATATAATATATTGCTCTCGTGTTTTTGTTCTTTGGCTTGGTTGTTTCTTCTCGTTATCACATGCATGCATGGGATCTGCAACTCATGGTAGCTATAGTTAGCGCGAGTAGTGAGGGGTGAGTTAATACTTTTACACGGAGATATCTAGAGTTCAACGCAGCTAAAGTTTTATTAACAAAAGCTGATGAATATAATATATCACATAAGCTAGTATGAAAATTGAAAAGATGAAGATTCTATTTAGTTTGTATTGAAGTCAGAACAATATATACACTGCCGCTGCTAAAAATTTATAAAAGTTGCAAAGAGCTTGAGTGAAAACAAAGACGACGGATAGATGTGACGAAGGAGGTGATAAATTGCTTAATTCAACATTGATGAAAATTCATAATTTTATATAATTACCTTTTATTGCATTTTTAAAAGAATTTGAACTAATATATCAAACACAAGCACAAATATAAACAACTTTTATGTAATCGGCGTGATGAGGTTAGAGTAAGTAAGGTGAGTTTTTTCTCGTCTTTTTAATTTCTTACTAATAAAAAATTCATTAATTAACTAGAAGATCATTAAATAATAATATTTGATACATTTCGCTGATCAGATAACGTCTTACAATTTATTAATTTAATTTATATCGTATTAATGCAAACTGATACGTACAAGAACTACGGCTAATTAAAATGAGACACGATAATTCTTTATTACGTGAGATGCATGTTACACGCGGCAAAGAAAGATAGATTTAAAAAAAAAAATCATTAGAAACTACTTATTTCATCTACCACTACGAGAGGTCTCTTATATCGATCACCTCTGCAACATACACTCTTCTTTAATCCATTGTCATAATAAAGCATTCCTGGTTTATATAAGTAATGAAATCAGTTTTGGTCAGATAGTTAGTTACATAAGTAAAAGTGTTCAGTGACCGGGTTTGAGTGGAAATTCAATATGAATTAATTAATATTAATTGATTTAAATTTTATAATTTTTTTTAACTCAAATTAAATTAATTTGATGTTGATCAAGTTACGAGTTATCAAATATCTAATAATTCAAAAAAAATAAAAACTTTGTTCCTTAAAGTAAATTAATTTTTTGACATTAATTAAAGTGATATATTATCACAAATTACTTAATTTGATAGATTCACAATATAATTTCTTTTAATTTCTTTTATTAATCTACTTAAATATATTATAATATATAAAATGATATTCAATATATTGTAATATAGTTTTTCTTAATATTTTTTAAGTATTTAAAAAAATTCTACATATAATAATAGAAAATATCTTCAAAATAAGGAGAACAATACATACATATTAATTATTCATCAAATAAAAAATAATAATAATATATAAATTAATTAATTTTTATTAATTTGATTAGGATTGGTTCGAGTTTAAATATATAATTAATCTAATATATGAACTAATTAATATCAAGTTTAATTTATTTAATCTCATATCATATTATTTTTCATTCAACTCTCTATTCATGGATTCTTTCACGTGGCACCCACCACCGTTCTCATCTACCACTATTTGTTGCCATCATCGCACCACCCAACCACTCTAAGGAATAAGGATACTGTCAAGGTGTGCCACCATATCCGTGGTTCTCAATTGCACGGTTCTGGAGAAGTATGTAAAGAGGTTTCTTAGGTGCATCATAATCATAATTAAGATGGTAGGCAACAAATATGGGATGCAATTAATCACTTATAGACTTTATCATAGTTTGTCCTATCTAATTTATCTCACCATCCTTGTTGGCATTTAATGGTCTTCAAGTGGGCTACATTGTTCGTGTGCAGCGGTAAAGTTTTCAAGACAATTATGAATCCTCGACAGTTATAGAATCAAACTATATGACTGAAATTGGCTAAGTTAACTAGCAAAAGCATCTCTGGTTTTGGAAACACCTTCTTTCCCCTATTCAATGTCTTCTCTTAGTATATGATAAGTTCTCCAATTTTTTTGAACAATCTTCAACTTTTAACTTTTGAAGTTCAGAAAAATTTTGAATTGCTCCATTGCTGAAAATTTTCTTAATATTTTGGTGAAGATGTTCCAAGCGGGGCTGAGTTGTTACAAGACTTGCAATAGGTACTTTTAAGGTGTAAGAAGGAGGGGTTGAAGGCTTGGGGATAGGATATAAGAGGGAGAAAGAGAGAGAAAAAAAAAATTAATAAAAAAGGTCTACCATTACATTTTATCAATCATAAAATCTAATGGTTTAGATTAAAAAAATGGACCATAATAGATCACCTATTGTTTGATCACCTTATATTTTGTCCCTATAAAAGAAGACTATACATGTATAATAAATTATTAGAAAAAGACGAGAGATAAGACTATTTATGGAGTTAAATTACATTTAAAAACCCAATTCTTAATATAAATAATCATTATTACATTTAAAAACCCAATTTTTAATATAAATAATAATTCATTATGATATGAATCAGTTTTATTAGTTGATAAGAGAAAATGGCTTATCTCTCTCAAATCCTTCATAATTACTTGAATTTCACATGATATCGAAGTTCCTTTTCTAAAAGCTCTGCACCACACAAGAAAGAAGACGTATTTGGACCAAATAAGGACTTTGAATATAATGACAAGGACATCCCAAAAGAAAAGGAAAGTAAGCTTAACTTTTACGCTAGAATAATACAATGCTCTATTAAGCTAACTGAAAAATGAACATGGTTTCTAATCAACTAAGAACAACCTCAAAATAATTCAGGTGTCGTTTGTGTTGCTTTTCATAGCCCTAAGTAAGCTATATTCTTGGCCTTGTACATTGGACCAACAAAGCATGTCTACTATTCAAAAGATATGTTGTCTTGAGAGAATCAACTTTATTTACAAATGACCATTCTACATTATTAGTATAGTTTTCTATATTCCAATCTTCAGGTTCAACTTGATTTCAGTATCTTTGGACTTGCAAATGTGTTAGGCCTTGTTTGAATAAGCATCTTCAAAAACACTTTCGGTAAAAGAAAAAGTGAAATGAAATTTTCTACAAATTGAAAGTAGATTATGAATGAGTTAAAAACAAGATTTTGAATAAACTAATAGGAGATAGTTTATACAAATTAACTTATATATAATCTAATTTCAATTTATAAAAGTATTTATACTATTTTTTCTTATTTTTTTCTCTTAAAAGTGTTTGTGAAAAATGTTTATCTAAATGTACCTTAATTGAGAAGTATTCTTAGTAGAGTTCTTGTTTCATATATACAAAACACAAGTATCGTAGAGACAAAAAAGATAACAATATGAGAAACGAGAATATTAATAACATAGAGGTGCACTAGTTGTGGAAGAATCTAAGAAAAAGAAGACTAAGAAAGGCATGATTGATGATTCGATATGAAAATCAAGATCACAAACTCGTTGCAGCGAGATATTAAAAACGTGTAATGTGTCACGTGCAAGCAAGGTGGACAAAAATTAGAGAATTTAAAATTAAAATAATAATTAAGAGTTGTAAGGAGAGAAAATGACGACTCGCAAGTTTAATAGTGTAACAATTAAAATAAAGAGCGTAATATTAAGGGAAGTGACAAAATTAGAAATTTTATTAGTCGAGTGTAAAAAAAAAAAACTAAACTTAAATACTATTTTTAAGTAATGTTTCAAAATTAAAGCACTATATGATTGTGAGATAAACTCACCTTTCTTAAATTGCATTCCAAATAATTGGTAGTACGCAATACAATATAGTTAATTCATAAAATTTTATTTTTTTTGCGAATTTTCTTTAAAAAAAATATTCGTAGAAATTTTTTATAAATTTTTTTATAATAATTATTTCACAAATAAATTCTAGAATTTATTTGTAAAAAATAATTTACATATATTTCTTATAAATTTTTTTTATGAAAAATAATCTACAGGAAATTTTTGTAAATTTTGCTACAATTTTAATGATTATAAACAAAAATTTTCATTGTAAAAATTTGTAGAAAATATCGTAAGAATTTTATTTTGTTTCTTGCAAAAATAAATTTGCAAGTAATATTTTCTAAATGATAGAAAAATTTCGCAGGTAACTTTTTCTGCGGATTTTCCTATCAATTTTAATCCGTAGGAAGAATTAAAAAAATATTTAAATTTATAAGTTTAATATTTTAAAAAAACTTCAAGTCTCACATCGATTGAAAATAAAACAATTAAAAAGTATATAACTTGGGGCAACACTTACCTTACAAGTTGATTTGTATGGTTGAGTGTTAGGCTTATAATCTACAATCTTAGAATTTAAAAGATTATGTATCACATGTTGGAGGCTTGAAAATAAATAGTTCGGATGAATTGATTATGAACATTTGAAAGTTGAAGAACTATTGTAGAATTTTTAGTAATTTCTTTAATTTTTTTCATAAAAGATGTTCCTTCAAAATTTCTTGCGAAAAAATTTGCAGGAAACTTTCCTGTGAATTTTTTTTTCAGGAAACGCAAGAAATTTCACAGGAAAATTTCTTGCAAATTTTAAAATTCACAACCATATTATCCACGAAAGTATTACTTATAGATAAAATTTCTTAGAAAAATTCGTAAGAATAATGTTTGTTGCGGATTTTAATACGAAATTCGCAAGAAAAATTGCATGTAATAAGAGAAATTCTAATAGTAATTCTTATATTATAAAATTTTTGGATCCTTATCAATGAATCTGAGAGTGTCTTGTATTTTTTATCCTTTCACACATAACTTTATCATTATTTAACGGTATGTTTAATTTTTTTTTCTATAAATTCATATATTATTAATTATTTAAAATTCTAAATTTTAATATATTTTTTAATATTTTTATGCTCAGATTTAAAATTTTCACATCTCAACATTAATTTCTTTTAATTTTTCTTTTTATTAATTTTAACAAAATTAGATAAATATTTGTGTCAAATTTTGTTAAAATTGAATAATAATTATCTAATTCATATTTTAGTATATTTTAAAATGATATATATATATTACGC